TGCGATAATTGACGTGTATAACGCGACGAATAATGGGACCTGAGTATCGCTTTGTCGGCCAATATACAGTACTTGATGTTTGTAGGCGTTTTAAACTCCACAAATTTAGCTAAACTTATATTACCTGTTTCACAATATGTTTCCTTCGTCCATTGTGTTCACCAAGGCAAAAACTGTATCTCAACCCATAATTCGACAGATCGTTGCGAAAAGTATAACGTGTGATCTAAGCCATACATGTCTCGTCTAATCCATACCAGTTGAACTTTATAAAACCTGCCTAACTATGGGAGTAGATCTGCTCAAAATGTATCATAGATAGCAATAATTGTGTAAACTCGCATCTTGCCTAAACTCTCGAGTGTCTCCTTTCCTCAGCGTGTGAGGTACTACGGTTTCCTTCCTGTTTACCCTGCCCCACACGGACAATGACGCGGGAAGTTGATGAATTTCCCAATACACAATACTACACAACAGTGAGTAGTCAAATAGGAAATCAGAAACAGCATTTCAGTAAGGGCAGTGCTTTGATAATGATATGCTACCAATTTGGCATGGTTGATTCTTTTCTTGCTCCACGCTTTGCTGTGGTACACAAAAGTCTAAAATCTATCGTGATGAAGTAACGAGGTTAGTACATGGGCTCAATTTTAATGTTGCGATGTGCTACTGACACTGGTGAGTAGTTTGCACGTACCGAAAAGCGGGTATTGGATTCCCACGAAATCTGGAGTGGATTAGAAGATTCGTTTCTGTAACTACAGAAAATGCGCATCTACTGTCGAACCGTCCCATCAATTATCCTGTGTTCCTGTGGGAATTCTGAAGATCTGTTACAAATGAGACATTTTGATGTGTGAATGCCAGTTTACCGATACCCTGACCGCTGTTCGTAATAAATAATTCGCTTGGTTCCGGCATCGTCTCGTGGATTTGTAACAATAGGAGTTCGATAGTTTAGGTTGGGTACTCAGTAAATAACTCTAATTCTATGTACCGCACCACTACTAAAAGTGCCTCAGTGCGACTTCAAATACGCTGACGACTTTGTGTCTGTTCGAATGTGTGAAGAAAGCCTAAAGCGCACTCAATAAACTAATAAATTCTGTAACTCCATTCGGTATGCACTTCGTCACTTCAGACCAAACCTGGGTGTTTGATGGCCAGGAACTAGTTATGGTAGATGGCTTCATTTGCTTAGGTAGTTGCGCGACAAATGACGGTACCAGCTTGCGCATGACTAAAACACTTCTGGCTCCAATGTTAGGTCCTTTGAAAATTGAAGGGT